TATATAATATATACACACACACACGTGCAATACATATATTCCTATACATAAGTGTATACAACATGTACATATATATACGCACATGTATTACAGGTGCATATGCAAACTCTCGCAAATACTACCTCTATTTTGCATGTGCCTGTAACTAAGGCTCTCCAAAATCATGAAAGAGAAAAGGAAATGGACATTGTAATTAAGAGCTGCCCTAACAGGCAGGAAAGCTATACTGTGGAGCATCTTACTTAACCATGAAAGGAAAAACAATTGCACTGTAGTTTTATATAACAACAATAATTTTTTAAACACTAATGAAACTAACATAAATATTTGTTCTTTCCAAAACCCAGAGTGTCATTTTGCATCTCCAGGAAACTGTCTGTATTTGCTTACTCTTTAGAACACTATAGGATCACAGTACCTACAGAAGCTTCTTAAAGTGAGCAGCTCTTCCTTTTTCACACAAGTTATACAAAATACCTCACATTAGGAATTCGTCTTGGTCATCTCTGGAATACTGTTTGGGGTATTTTCCCCATGCAAAAACACACTTCCGAGTTACTTTCTCACTTGCAGAATGATTAAGTCACGTCCTGTGCCCTTCCTAGCAAAAGATTATTCTTCCAAGACGGACAGATATGAACCTTTCCATAAATTACCTCTATGCCTATAAGTTGTTCCTCCTTTGCCAACAGGACCATCATATACAGCAAACAGACAATCATGTTGTGAGTCTGAGGACGAGGGTTGGGATTCCAGGCATCAGAGAGTACACTGACCCAGTTTATTTCACACAAAACATAACCCAAGAATAAGAAACAACTCTTGGGGCTGCCTCTTTCAATCTAGGAAGGAGAAAGGAAAAAAGGCACACAAAACAACATAAGATATAAATACTTTCATACTTTTTAGTTCCTTAACCAACTATAAATCCACAGCAGCATTTTAAGTCAGCAGAGAAGTAGACAGATGCCTCTTCTCCATCACTTTGCCCCCCACCAGAAGAGCTCACATATAACTTTCTAAGCCTCTCAAACAACCAGTACAGAATACCAAGCTACTGCAAACGAGAAAGAAAGAACGTACTACAAACTCTCAGCTGCATGATTGCATCCAATTCTCTTCACTCTAGGAGAAACTAACAAATTCTGAGCCTGTTTAGAACTGCATGAAAAACTCATCCCAAACTGATAAACAATAAATCCTGGAGCATTTCCACACCTACCTGTAGCTTTACATTGTCTCGGACAACTTGGAAGCGAGAACAACACAGTAATATTAAAATATATTAACTCTAACAAAATACATATTAAATATATATCTAGTAAATGAGACATTCAGATAGAGCAATGACAGATTACAAAGATTCCCAGCTTTACAGCTCCCCACAATTTTTATTGTTGCGAAGGAGTGCTACTGACTCGGACAATCACAAAATGAGCAGTTGTGAATGCTACAGACAAACTTTAAAAGCTTACTTGCTGAAAGAACTTCTCCAGCTCTCCACTTATTTTCAAGGACAACACTGATTATGAGCTTAATTCAACAGATGCTGTCTACTCACTTTAAAGAACTCTTCCATAAGCATCTGGTCTGGATGCATTTCCTTCCATGGAAGCCTTCTGAACTCAGTATGGTAAGTATAGAGAATAAACTCTGGCATTTTGGGGGCTGTGCAACATTCACAGTAATGCATTAGATGTAACCAGAGAGCTCCATGGTGGCTTGGTAACAGCTTATCTAGATTCAAAGAAAACAGCTCAATTAATAGCAGAAAAAATTCAGGGAAATCTTCATTACAGAAGGAAGTCCAATTTTGAAGATAAAAAACATAAATGCAAGTTATACTAAAGTACATTCAAAGAAAAAAAAATGCACATTAAGTTTTTAGACTTTTTCTTACAAATCAACAAGTGAGGAAGTTTATGATTTCATGCCCTTCCTCGATCTTTGAAGAGCTGCTGGACAATAATCTGAAGTTATAAAATACCCCTTCCATGTAGAACTTCATTGCCTTTATGTTGGGTTGTTGGTTTTGTTTTGTTTTTTAAAAGATTTATGTATCTCTAATTTTATGAAACATACAATATTATGTTATTTTTAATTATTCATTTTTATAAGACAATTTTGAATGTAGTTCAGCCCTGAAAGTTGTTAACAGGTATTGTGAAATTGATTTTTTCCATTCGTATGTCTAACTACACATTAGGGACAATAAGCAATGGTAAACAGCAGCTCAAAATGATCAGTCCTGGAGCTTAAATTACCCCCAAAGTTAGCTGTTGCAACATGTGTATTGGTCATCGTGACAAGCTACTGCATGTTGTATGTGAACAACATACAGACCTGCAACAAAGTCGTGCACTTCTCATGACAGTTCATTTTGGTTTGCATTTCTTCACATTAACTTTGATAACTGACAGAAATGCATTTATCAATCTACCCTTGCCAAGGAAAAAAAGCTATCTTTTAAGGATGAAATAAAGGAATGCTCCTCATGATCATCTCGGCTAAAAGTTCGTAACAAACAAAATCCCCTCACATCCCAATCAAAAAGTCTTTTTTGGTCTGATAGAACAGAAAGTGCCACTACATTAAAATAGTATGGACTTCACCCACCTTTAAAGCTCTCGTGCAAAAGCTTGATGCAATCGGTAAACAAACAGACCACAGTAGATGCTACAGGAGTGTCGCTCTCTAACCAAGGGTAGCAATGCTGGTTACTTAAAAGAAGCAGAAGTGAAGCAACACAAATTTCAGTGCTGGGGTTACCAGATCATAAACACTTAAGCGACTTAAATATTCTAAAGCGTAGTAAAACAATATAGTACAGGTATCAGCAGTTCTCTCAAACTCAACTCTTTGGGACTGTCATCTTCTTCCTTAGAACAGGTACATACTTTAATGTCACACTGAAGACCCATGACACTGAGCAAGCAGAGATTACTTGTTTGATATTTCATAACTGAATTAAAGACTAGAACACAAGAATTTCTGAAGAGCAGCACATACCACCTGCAGTCAACCTTCTAATTAAGTGCTGAAGAGGCGTTCACAACTCAAAAAGCTTTTCATTTCAGAAGAAAATAAAATTTAAATGTATAACAACACAAACAACTGCCCATGTGAAGACAGAGGTACACAAGACAACAGATCATCATAGGACTGATTTAGCCTAAACTTTATTTACATACCACTGGCATTTGGGGTTGTGTTTGTTCGGCTTTTTTGTTTTGAATTAAAGCATTATAGATATCATGGAAGCTAAAAAAAGGAATCTAAAATTCAAGTTTCAGCGTTTTCAGAACTCACTGCAATTCAGATTTTTCTCATACTAAGCTCTGGTCAGGAAGCAGACATATTTCTGGTATCTAAAATAATTAAGTCAATTTTTCCAAGACTTGGATTGAATAAGTCATAAATTACTTCCATAATTATTAACAATATGACACAAGTACCAGCTATTTAAATGGAAGGTCACAATACAGTCATGAATTAGAAAAAAACAGGTAATAATGAAAGCTACTCTTACAGGGCTACAGTCTTTACTTTAGCAAAAATTCATTTAATTTTAAAATGCAATATATACCTTGCATCTTCTTTATCCAAGACCAGTATCCATGGTTTAAAGAGTCCAGCAATGACTGAATACAAGGACTGCAATGCTAGAAGAAAACAAACCAAAGAAGTTGCTCTTTTTCCTTCAAATCAGCAACAGTGAACATCTTACACGTTTCCAAACCTGAATGCAATGTCCTTTGCTTATTCCAACATTTAATCAGGTCTTCCTGGTCAAATAAAAATCTAAAATGCAATATGCTTCTTAGTGACTCTGGTTCACAATATGGTTGTTTTAACAACATTCACAAGAATTTTTTTATCGCTTATATGTTTTATTAGTATCACCTTAACACATCTGAGACTGTGGGGGTAATGATAATTCACACTTTAAACCTGCATATACTAAAATAAAAGGTATTTTGGTGATTTTCTCCAAATCAAAATCACACCATGATGAAATTCAGTAGTCCCTCGTTCCCAAACCTCTGCTTAGTGCAAAAGAATGTATTTTTCTTTGAAGAAAGTATGATCTCTTCATAAAATAATTTTAAAGCAAGGCCAAATATAAACAAGCTTCCTCCAACAAGCATTAAGATAAAGTAGCATCAACATTTCCCGTCTGTATTTTAAAGTTCTTATCATTATACAAATGCAGAGTAAGAAGATTTTACTGTATATTTAAATGGACTTCAGCAGAGGAAATGAGAGAAACTGAGTGCCTGTTCTTAAGTAATTTGCTTTTAAGACATTACCTGCTAGAATTCTGTTACTGCCAACGGGTTCTTGGGCTAAATTGGCAACTTTGGTGTCAATAAGTCGTTTAATAAGATACTCCAGAAATTTATTCACTTCAGCCACATAAGGACTCCATTTTGAAAACAGGCCAAAAGTCCTGAAGTCCACTGAAGTCAGCCGGAGTTTGCAGAAAGATGTGGAAAGCCATTCTACTGTCTCTCTAACCTGCAAAAAGAAGGAAACTATTAATCAGATACAGAAAGACTGCACAGCAGTGGTGTTTGTCACTGGTAGGCACCTGTTTCAGCTGAAAAACATAATAAATCAATCAAAGAGGCACCCACCTGTTCTGCAGAGAGGAGAATTTTTGCAGCATCTCGCAATACAGGATTTTCGGTAGAATCATTTTTCTTGAAGCTTCCCTGTTCAGTCACTGGTGAACCACATCCCAAAGCTTTAAGTGATGCCTTCCAACAGTCAGGGCTTAGAAGGTGCTCTGATGAACCTTAGCAGAAAGAGAAGGGAATGTATTTGTGAAAATCAGAAGAAGAATATTAGTCCCTTTCCCAATACAAGTCAGAAAAGGCTGAAATTAGAGCTCCTTACTGCATAATAAAAATTAGGTAAGGTATGAGCCTGAAAGCCCCAAGTTCAGGGGTGAGAGATATCTCTAATTTCCAGACATACACAAACTAACATTCCCTTTTGGCATCTACATGCTCTGTTCTTAGAGTTTCCCAGGCACTTCGTACATCCCTGGCTACAAACACATATTATGAGACAGTTGCCGCCTCAGCACATATGGTTTGACAGAAAGGAAGTACTTTTGTTTTCATTCTAGAGGCACATCAGATTATAGGTAGCATCTAATGTCAACCAGGACATTTTCAGTAGATTTCAGTATCAGTCCCAGGTCTCCATAGTTCCAGGTCTCAGTTTGACATTGCAGGGTGCTCAAGAACAAGGATGCTGCATTATAGACTGTGGCATAGTTTTAATTAAGTGCTTCCATTAATAGAAACTCTCCTCCATCCTTCTCCTGTAATATGTGCTGAAAATCTGTCATCACTGATACATGTACTTCGACCTGCAGAAGAGTGTTTCTTTCCAGTAGAGCTAAAATATGTCTAAAAAACATATCACACTGCATGCACATAAAAGTGCATATAGACACTTAAGGAAGTTTAAATCATTCCATATGTGTTGCTATTGAACTCTACTGCATGTAGTTCCTATTTTTAAGCCAGAAGACTTCTGTATGAAAGGCTTAGTATGCATTAATTCAGATACTCACTTCGCACGAACAATCTTAGGAAATCACTATAGTGATCAGGGAACTGATACTGGAGAAGGTTAGTCCAATGCTTGCAGAAGATATTAAATGGCATCAAAATATCTTCTTCAGGTTCAAGGCCACATGCATTGAGAGCCAAGTGAATAGACTCCAGAAGCTTGGTACGTTCAGATAGAGGTGGCTTAGCAACGTTTAACCATTGTGTAAGGTCAAACTAGAACAGAGGACAGGAAGCATTTGTAAGTAGAAGCTTTAACAGCCACAACACCTTTAGGAGAAGGGAGAAATTGTCAGGGGAAAAAAAGAAATCCTGAAGTTTTTATATATTTTTAAAAAACCTAATGAATTTGCACCTCATTAGCCCTAACTCAAAACCAAGGTAACATCCTCCAAAGGTTCTGATTTGGCATATTGCAAAAGTCCCTGAATCTCAGACCCTTGGCAGGGCTCCTCAGATTCATAAAGATGTGTATGAATTTCCACACTTCAGTATCGCTACCACTTACAAGCATCAGACTGGGCCAATCTCCATAGCCCATAAATTTTCAGGTGAAGGTGCAAAGCTTTCGTAGCCTCCAGGCCATCTGTTCAGACCTACGTCAGCAGGGACAATGCTGATCATTGCTGCTAAGGACAGCTCAGTCATACCCAAAACAGCCTGCCTCCTACTCAGGGCTGTCAAACTCTATCTCTGTTTAACTAATGAGGAGAACCAGAATGATTTCAAAGCTTAAGTATAATAGTCATTTCTCCACTGACAATACAGGTAGGCAGTATGACACAGCCCCCAAACAAGAGATGTGCAAATCACCTGCTCTTATCTAATTCTGTACGTTTTAGGATAGGCAGGAAGGACATGGGTGCCAGAGACGGAAGATTCAGACACTGTTCCAAATTTTTTTGTTTGTTTGTTTTTAGGATATCTAGGATTCATCAGCTATTTTGATGAATGTCTCTGCAACGATATCAGGCAGAAGAATCCATCGAGCGCCTGCTTTAATTTCAAGAGTAAGAACGCACTGAAGAATAAGCCCCAGGAAGCACATACTGATACTACCTGGCCTAGGAAAGCATAGTCTAAGCTTTCTAAGCCCTTCCTAAGCTTAAATACAACACATACCATTCAGAATGAGCAACACAGATCTATAGAACCTGTTATTTTAAAGATATACAGGTTTGCATGTCTTTCTTCCTTAGCCTAAAGTCACAGTTTTTTTTTAAAGCAGCCCACAAAACAGAAGCAGTATTCATGAGTACTTTACCTTTGTCAGCAGCATGAAGACAACATCACTGTTATCCTCACTCAGAAAGGCCACAACTTTTTCATATAAAGTCACAAATTCACTGGGAGAAGCAACAGGAGTGAAGTAAGGAGAAAGGAGAGTACAGAGTCTTCGATTCTGCAGGATTGTCTGGAGGAGACGTTTGCATTCTGACTTGGTCCCACTGATGAACACCTGAGGAAATTGGGAACGGTGAGAAAAATGGCCCAGTATCAATCTATTGGAAAAAGCACACCTCTTAAGAGCTTTTTGTCAAAACAAGGACAATTTTGGTCCTTTTTTAAAATAGAAATTTTTCTCAAAATTGACAGACTGTATGAGATCAAGATCAACTAAATACTGCTGTTCCACAAGATATAACGTAAAATAAACATGTTTCCCTAGCACACTTAAGAACAGCACTTGTGACCACACATGTTGTCTAAAAATATATCTAGAAATACAATTTTTCTGATGGTATAGCAAAAGTAAATTAATCTAGATTTCAGCAGCCCTGTCTGATATTAGGAAAAAAAAACTACACCTATGAAGAGCTTCTCAGCACTTCAGCCATTACAGGCACTTAAGGACAGCTGCACATGGAAACAAACTGTATCTAAGAGATGAAAATAAATACCTGGACCCAAAGCAGAAGCTAACACTTCTTCTCAGAGTACCCATGTAATGTGTTCCCCACAGCAAACATTACCACCAAGAAGAAGCATTTATGTTCTCTATCAGCAAACTTCTGGCTAACTCTGCACAAATACTGCAAGGCTGTAGAAGAGAGGTGCCTAAATACAAAGGCTGACAAGATATACATCAGCTACAAAGTGATAACAGCAAGATATATGCCAAAACACTCTTTTACACATTGGAAGTACCCAAACTTTATAGTTACCTGTCCAAAAATCCAGCTTACCTTAGAATCTAACTAATACAGTGAGCATTTATTAGAACTAAGCAGTTATCTCTGGGCAACAGTTTTTATTTTGCTAATATGCAAGCTTAAGCTTTCCTAAAGACTGTGTATATTATACAATTAGTCGAAAGGAAAATAGGATACAAGCTTAGAAGTTAATTTTCAGCCTTCTGAATGTTTTAGACTCCCAATATCAGCAGGCAATTGGTATAAGCATTAGGCATCCAAAAGTCAGAGAATAAACTCACTTGGCCTAGAATCTCAATGCAGGATGTGAAGAACTGCCTTGTGGGAGGACTGCGTTGAGTTTCATCACACACATATTCCACTAACGTAAAAAACAAGCTAATTCCAACTTTCTTAATTGCAGGCATAGGCTGCACCTCGTAGATATTTATTAAGGCCCTGCAAAAGAAAAAAAAAAAAAAGGCAGATTATATTTACATACAGAAAATAACCTGTGACAATAAAGAAAGGTTTCTTGTCAATATACAGCCTTGAGATGGGTATTTCTGGCTTACATGATAATCAAGCATGGGTTCACAGAATCACAGCACGGTTCAGGTTGGGAGGAACCTCTGGAGGACATCTGGACCAGCCCTCCTGCTCAAGCAGGGCTACCTATAGTCAGTTGCCCAGGACTACATCCAGATAGCTTTTGAGTATCTCCAAGGATAGAAACTCCACAACCTCTCTGAGCAGCTTGTGTCACCCTTCAAAGTAAAAAAATGTTTCCTGATGTTCAGAGGGAACCTCCTGTGTCTCAGTTTGTGCCCATTGCCTCTTGTTCTGTCACTGGCCACCCTTGAAAAGAGCCTGCCTCCATCTTCTTTGTAGCCTCCCTTCAGATGTTTCTACACACTGATGAGAATCCCCTGAGCCTTCTCATATCCAGGCTGAACAGTCCCAGGTTTAGCTCAAGTAATTTTGCTGCCTGAAATGGGTACCTCCAAACCTTAGAAAGTCTCCATAATCAGACTCAGAAAGTGATCATCGAAAGATTTTTCCACAGAATAGTTCCAACAGATTATTTCTCCCTCATATCATGTGTTTGGCATGTTCTTAGCCCATCTCAACTACATTTGTACTGCAAAAAAATCTACCTCATTTTACTTAACAGGCTCAGCAATAAAAAAATTAAAACAGAATCATTCTTTTCTTGTGTACGGACAAATAAATTATTGTTGAGCTCAAATCCCCATCTTCACTGAGTCTGAATTAAAACACGTGAAGAACATGTAATTCCACAGATGTAAATCCCAAGAACTAGCTCATCCACAGAATTTTTCAGATTAATGATTAAGAATGAACATGTAGAAATAGTACCTAAATATTTTTACTTGTACAGCCAGTCCACTCTGTAGGAAACCAGCTGTGCTAAACGAATCCCAGCAGAAATCTAGAAGATTGAGAAGAACGGGGTTGCAAAACTGGAGCTCAGGAGTGAGCTATAAAAGGTCTTCAATAGGTAGAAGGCCTTGGCCTAATCCATTTATTCAGCACCCCCAAAAAATTTATAGTATATAGTCCTCTTCCACTGCACAATTTTGTTTCACATATTGAAAAGCTAGTAGAGAGTTATGCTTTGAAGTAAAGAGCTATGTCCTGCACTATAACAGAAAAAAACCTAGAGAGATATTAGAAACATATAGTTTAGCCTATGGCCGACACAGCTGTGGTGTAAGTTTGCCGGTTCCTAAAGTTTAACATAGCATCGCTGTCATCGCTTAACATGCTTTTGTAGGGTTGAAGGGCTATTCTAATACACAGTACAACAAACTGAAGTAGAAAACAATACTGTGTGCCTTTAATATAGAGTTATTCCTTTAGAGGTCTGCATCACAAACACAGGTCTCAGGATTCCAGCTCTGTTCTTGACCCAAGCCAACAAGCATTATGAAAAAACACACAAACAGGTTTTACATTTTAACTCTAACATAAAGAAAAAGAAATATAAAACATCACTACCTAAAACAGTGTCTGAACAACCTACGTTATAAAATTTTCCACATGTACTGCTGCTTCCACAACACCCAGAGAAGGTGGCTTCGTAGCTTCTGCCTGCAGTTGTCTCACTTCTTTACGCAAAGCATGAAGCTGCTGGCTCACTGCTTCATTTTTATGTTTCCCTTCAAACTAAATGACAAAAAGACACATATATTCATTTCAGAATAATATTTTTTGCTAAAAGTCTTTGACGTTGCACCTATTTGTAAAAATGAAGCAGAGCCCAGTAAGAGAACTCCGAATATACATAGTTTTCCTCCAAGAGTTTTGATCAGATTTAGTGTATCGTGCCCAAGCACACATCCTTGGCCATGTTCCTGTTTATCACACACTAACATAATTCATGTCTTATGCAAGACTTTTAATCCACAGGCACTGAAATCTAGAGGGTATCAAGAAATTTATACACTAAGCAACATGGGAATATTTCTATAAATGTTTTCATGTTTCTATTCCTATCAGTTAGCAAATTCCCACATTTACACATTGGGATGCTATGAGCAACACAAACTTTATGCAAGTTATTCTTCAGTTGTTGATCTGTATCTCGCTCTGAGCATTACATATGAGGTATTTCAGGTAACTATTATGTGTGTATGGATTTATTTGGTCAACTGCTATCATTCTTGTAACTATTCAGCCATTTCACTTTCACTATCCATGTCCAACAGCCCCAAAAGAGAAGTCATGCCATGTCTCTAACCTGGATGGTTAGAAGCGCTGCTCCTTGACAGCCTTTATTTGAAGTTCCCCGGCACTCCAAATGGAGGGTGATCTGCTCTTCCCGATTGACATACAGCTTAGGTACTGTGTCCAATATTTCACTATTAAGAGCAACATGCTGAGATTCCCAGAGAGCTGCAGTTCTGAAAAGCATTTAAAGTTATCAAAATCTTTATTGAAAACAGTAATGCTAAGAATTTATAAGCAAGAGATGAGACTTCAATTTAATGTGCTGTACAAAGACTCATGACAATTTCCTAGAAAACATAAAAGGTTATCAAATAAAATTGAGTTAAAACTTCAAAGTAATAAAGAAATAGGTTCGTAAGAACAAAACTACTCAAGTCTGCATGAGTTCTTTTTAATTATTCTACACGACAAACTAGAAGGAAATGAAATAGATGACCTTCTGTAGCAAATGCAATCTTCCACCAGATAAAAAAAGCTGAACTGTGGGATGATTCAGTCAGAGAAAAAGAAAAAAAACAAAAAACAAAACACACCCACACAATCCCCTCCCCCCAAAAAAACAAAACAAAACAACAAACAAAAACCCCAAACAAAACAAACTGCACACTCACAAAAACCACCACTCAAAATTGCTGCTGGAATTATTTAGACACATCCTCTCCTGGGCTTCGCAAGTTTTGTTTTGGTTTATAATACTGTTACTAAATTACTACATTGGGAAAGAACAGCTATAGATTGATCAGCTGTACTTAAAAATAATTCAGCTGGATTCTCTTAGTAGGAATATTAAAACCAGAAAGTCTCTTTCACTCACAAAGCTAGTAGTCACAGAAATCAGATTTCTCTCTTGAGGACCCCAGTGCTTCATACTGCAGCTACTAAATTAGTGCAAAAGGGTTAACTAACTTACTGTCAACTAATCTAGGCTAAAGGGAAGCTTTATTTTGAAAAGTATGCCAAATGAGACAAGAAACTGCAGAAGTTAAATGTCAGCTGATGTAATCTCAGTCATTAGGCAAGACTTGCGTAGTCTTATCTTAGTTAAAGGAGTGGAATGACATGATAGCCAAAGAACAAAAAAAAAAAAAAGTGGGACAAGAAGCAGAAGTCAAGTACTGACAGTCTTGTTCCAACACAAATGAGGCTGCTGTAAAGGGCACCTGAAGACACTGCTAGACACACTAGTGAGGCAGAAGGAAAACAGCTAGGTCTTACTTGGCATGTCGCTGCAAGATATTAAGGTCCATGCGCATGAGCTGAATTGCTTCTTTCTGATTTACTAGACTGGCAGAGGAAATAACTGGCACAGGAGCTTTCATCATCTGGAGTGGAAGAGGGGGCTTGGGAGTATCAAACTTCTTCAAATTATTCATTATCCTCTCTTTGGCTAGAAAAAAAGCAGAAGCAAATTTTGTCAATAAGAAAAGTTTAGGAGAAACCCAACAAAAACAACATTATTTTGCATGAACATTTTTAGTAGCAGACAAATACTTCTCCAGATTCCTCCCTTCTTAAAAAAAATTCACTTAACTAATCTTATTTTTGCTGACAAAGTTAATTTCACACAGCTAATTTTCAGGACCAGCTCCATCACATAAACATTAGCAACCAAGGTCCCATTGCTTTCCTTGTTTCCCCCAGTTACTCCTACCTTCTACCCCTTCAATTTTCCTCTTATCACCTCATTTATTCCCCTCATCTGACAGAGGCTCCCAGACTCAGTATAAACAAAATCCATCTTCCTTTCCTTACAATTCATCCTCACCTCTAGTCTGATCAGCTCCAATTCCTCCCCAAAGCACAGCCTCTCCCCAGGTCAGCTCTCTCCTCCTGCTGATCCCCATTCAGTTCCTTTGCCCAGTGTCAATTCACCTACGAAACTGTTCCAGTTTCCTTCTATTCTCTCCCTACCCTTCTTAATCAGTCCCCAGAAGAATCCAATCTCACCGTATTTATCCCCTTCTGTGCTAGAACAACCCTGTCACCATGCCAGTATTTCAGGGAAAGGCACTGGGAACAACAACAAACAGAGACAATCTTTCTGCTTTCATTTACAGTGGTTTTTGCCTTTGCTTGCAGCTATCTCTATCTAAACTTCAGGAAAATTCAGCCTGTCTGGAGCATGTTCTGTGCAGAGGAATCTTTGGGGAGCTCACCCATAAAGCTCTAGGCACAACATGACTTGCTGTTCTGTGATATGGGAAACTTTCAGCCAAAAACATCGATGTTAGACTCTCACATGAGCATCTTAGTGAGAACACCATGAACCATGAAAGCTTCGTGCAAAATACTGTACCCATAGAAAACAAACTGTGTTAACATCTTTATCCACAGACATCATTATGTTCCCAAAGAAACCAGGGCTTCAACATGACAGTAATTCTTTCTGACCTAGTTTCATTAACAATATCTCTTACCTGATAAAGGGTTGGTGAAATCTGTTTGCCCTGCAGAAACACAGGTTGTATGCGATTCAAGCTGAACCTGCAGCCAAAGGTTTAGAGCTTCCTGAAACTCATGGTGTATGAGTTCAATATTGACATACTCCATCCACAAATCCTAAAGCACAAAAGAATTAAATTATCATACCCATTTTGGTCAGTACCATATACTGTGCATCCATCCCAGTAGCTGGGGAACTAAAATAAGTATACAAAACTAGACCCTGCAGTTTTAAGTCACAGAAAAATTATTACTGTGGAATCTATTCTAAAAAAAGAAAGTTGCAGAACTTTTATCACATATACAAATAAGCCACTGAAAAGCACTCATGACACTTACAGAAGAAATCTGACAAGCACACATGGTATAATTTCTAACAAGTAACAGAGAAAGGGTAGACACTATTAAAACTCTGTTCCTAAAAAAGGAACACAGAGGAAACCAAGATAGTCTAAAACATCAGGGCATGCTTAACAGTAATCAGGCTAAAGCAGGCTGTGTTTCCAGTGGTCACATACACTGGAGGAATAAAAACAAAGAAGGCGTGAGGAAATGCCCTTCCAAAATCTCTCCTCTCACAGGTTTTTTTAATTATACTAACTCTTTAGACTTACTGGACAGAATAATACACACTTCCTGCTAACTTGTATTTGAACCTGACATATTACAGACTACCAACACGAGCAGATTTCAACTTCCAGTCTTTTGTCGTTTAAAGTTCCAACTTCAATAATTCTCTAAAGTTATCTTAGAACATAAAAAGAATTACAGAACAGCACAGAATACGGACTGTGTTCTCATTAAGATATGCAAAAAATCTACACGAGTCCTCACTCAGATACAAAGGCAGGCAGTTTTGGACAGCAGAGGATTTGGAGGGAAAATGTTAAGAGCTGTGAAGGCATCTTACATGCTGTACACATACTAGAGACCAGTGACACCAAGTCTCTCACTACTTTAGAGGACCCATTTTAACAAGTGAAGTGAATTTTGGATCCCAGATTGCCAGTGTCATTAGCACTTCACCTGTTGATTCTGCATGACTTTAGCAAGTCTATGTGCATCATATTGCTTCGGTAAAGAAGGAATGTACGTGTCTCCTTTCTGGAAACTCTCTTCTTCCAACCACAAAACAAAAACATTACAAAGCCTGGGAAGAAAAACAAAAAAAGGAGGAAAAACAAAATCAATGTGAACTTTAAATTGTATGCATAGTATGTATTATACAGAAGTCTCATTCTGGGGTTTAGAGTTAAGGCAACAAATAACACTACAAGGAGACATGGCTCAAAACATAGATATTTCAGGGCTTTGTGACTAGTTTACTGAGTGTCAGTTCAAAGACCAGCAATAGAATTAAACTATGTAGAAAAATATCAAGAGCAGCAACAAAGAGTAACAAGAGGAAAACATTTATGCAACTTAACAAACGACCCAGGACTGGAATAGTCTCCTATGTCAGGGAATCTCATCCACAACCCCATTCAAAAGACCAAAGGAAAAAACAGAGTATATTTAAGCAATTCTGGCTTCTCACCCCATGACTTCTCTAGAGCACCCGCTCCAAAAGGTCATATCTGAATTGAGTTACATCTTTTAATTCCTTTTCAGACTCAAATTCATGGCTAGTTTATTCTCAATTCCCCCTCTGCTAACACTGAACTTGAATATAAATACACATCTTTCTTCAACTGGCATGATTCTACTGAGTGGTACCCTTTTATAATTGTATCATCCAAGCTTTCCTTACAAAAAAGAACTAGAATGCCATTAAATCTTCACACTGTGGTACTAAGTATCACTAGCAAACTCCTGTTTTCTGTATCAGCATCATTGGTGGAAAAAATGGAAGCAGTCTACTTCCAAGAGTCAGCCCTCATGAACTCTACCAGTGTTTTCCCTCCTGCCTAGGTGGTCATTAAACTTCCTGAGCATAAGATTTACTTGGTTGTAGAGTAGTCTGGTTTTATGTTGGAGTAGGGAACTCCTTTGAAATGAAAAGCTGAAAATATTAATCACATTACACCCAGTGAGCATCTCTGGATTATTTTTCACAGATGACCAAGGAAGATTTATGATCTCCCTTGTTTGTTTGTACAGTACTTACTGATTGTTGGGGGGGGAGGGGAAAGTACTTAAAAGAACCTCAGATCCCATATGCCCAAAACCGCTGAACAAAGGGGTCTTTCCAAATAATCCTAACTAGTTCCTGGGAATATTCAGATACTGTAATACTGCAAACATTTCTCAAGGTAGATTTCTCAGATCAAAAGTCTCTATGTAACAGAATCACAGACTTCTGAATAGCATATTTACAGTTCAGTGTGCACAAGATACATGGCTCTTAGAAGTTATCACCCCTTACAAAAACGAGTGTTCACCAGCTGAGTCGCAGCGAGTCACCATGTCCACCTCCCTAGCCTACTCCAACACAAGACAACAGTCTTGCGCTAAGGTTTTGGTTAAGCAGACATATCACTTCCCAGCTGGTACCAAACACACTTGTCACAGCTCAACTTTAGCATGCTAACTGGGCAAACTGCACTAACTGAATCATGTTGAAGTCCCCAGTAAATTCTCTGATGAAGTAATCTTACTCAGACATAATTTTAGGCCCCTGTCTGTGACAAACAGATGTATATACACAAGTAGCATTTTACATTTATCACTAGTGATGTACATACCGGTAGCAGGTATGTCTAAACAATATTTTACCAGCATGGGGACACCATTAATTAAAAAGCAAAGCTCTCCCCTAAGCAGAGCAACAACTCTATCAACAATGTTTTACTTTTAGTAGTAAAATCAGCCCCTTCTCAAAGAAACAAGTTGGATCAACAGAGGAACAGATTTGACCACAACTATGCATATAACAAGTGCCTGCAGTACATCTAGTTCAGCCAAGAGTCACACCCCTTCATGTCTCCCACAGCTAAGACAGTGCTCTTGTAGTTGCATTAAATAAGATTGAACTGGGCAGGCTTTTTTTTTTTTTTTACCTGACAAGTTCCTTATGTAGTTCTGGTGAAGTCAGGTAATCTGATGAGCAGCTTGCCTTCTCTGGTGATCTGTCACTGCCCTCTGCAGGACTTTCCACTCTTAGTGCTTTACTCGCAGCATGGTGGAAGTCTGCTACCTCTATTAAGCGCTGTTTCATTTCATTTAGTAAGTTAACATGAGTTGCACTCTGGAAAAAACGTCTTCCAATACAGCCATCTACAGGTAATCTAAAAATGAATAGAAAAAGAGCACAGCAAAGTCTTGTTGCAAGTGTCAAATCAGCATCTCTGCAAATAAACCGACTCTTCAGAGAAGTTGCTGGTACCCACTGCTTCCAGATGCAGTCTTTGTGTAAGACACTTGGATCTCACTTGCAGCGCCAACTTACTAGTGCTTGCTAATCTGCTATAGCACTAATGATCAGACTCACCCATACTGTGGTCCTGGTCGGTGAAGGTAAAGGAGGAAGAATTTCTGCCAGATTAGTGGCATGAGAGGGTGATCAGCAGGGGTAGCAAGGGCCTGGTGAGCCCAGCGGTAAATCATGAGCCTCTGAAGCGAAGGAACAATGGGCAGCTTCAGCTGGGTCTGTGCTTTCTGCAGAAAGAACATTTTCAGACCAGTGTTCTGCTGCAGTTCCTGTTACAGGCTAACTTAACAGATTAACACAACATGAAAACTCAGCAATTACAGAGGAGAAAACTTTGGAAATATTCACACATCTGTTACAGGTCTTAGAGGAAGAGCTGCCCAGCTCATAGTTATGTTGGACAGCTGTTAAGAGATCAGTGCTACACCTCTGATACTTTAAAAAAAAAAAAATAGCATGATGGCTCTGTGATGCAAGGCCAACACATGGGTCATTGGTGTTAATTACAGTTAATTACTGTTCTTCCTCACAGAGGTATATGTTCCTGGTTTAGACTTCCATAAGACCTCTGATGTTACAGAACAAAGCAGAGCACACTCCAACCAGTAAAAATAACAATCTTAAGCCATGCGAGGATGCAGAATCCTATAGCATACTACTTTTAGCTTTTTCCAGACTACATTCCATACAGCCCTACTGAAAGTCTAAAAGGTTAAGTAAGCGCAATGTGAAGAAACAATACAGAAGGAAAAAATTTTACTTTGCTAAAGCAGAACAAAGGCAAAGTAACATATGAGCAGCAGCACTCCATATTAACAACACGGAACGCTACTCCACGGACTGACTAAATCATTAATAAGTCACACACCAAGCTCCCATGGAGCGGGGAATGGGAGGCTTTCCTGAGTTCCCAAGTCTCAGTGCAGACCCAGGCACTTCCTCATCCCCCACACTAGACCTCGGGAACCCCAGGCACCCTTTTCCACACACTACCCAGATACTATCTCACCATTTTCCAGCTAAATTGAGACATGCAAGCCAAGGGATAAATGTTCTCCAGACTAGTCTCCAAGGATGGAAGCCATGTACCAGTCTGGACACAGCCCAAGCAAATCTATTTTCATAGAGCTTCTAGACTACCTTCTCCATTAAAAGCCATTGAAACTGTCGAGATGAAGGACAGGTCAAAAGTTACACTTTGACATTGGACAGTTTAGTTTTCCACTTGCTTCATTCCAGAACTTCTAACTGAATTTGGGTGAAGAACCTCGAAAAATGCTGCAACATGGCTTAACAAGGTACTTAATTGTCTGTTCTTTAAGGGAGAGAACTAAACAGTTCTGAACATCTCAGAAAATAATTCAGCAAATACAGAGAAAAGTAAACCCCAGACTTCTGCAAAATTCAGATAATCTGAGAAATGCTCTTTGAAATATAGACACATTTTCCCACCTGTAAAATAAGAGTATCTGCACTCTCCATCTCAGTGGTATAGAATAAATCCACTGAAGATCGTGAGGCGTTCAGACAACCCAGAAAAATCATGCACGAAAACTAATCGGTAACTGAAGTTTTCTGTAAATAATGGTATAGTAAAAAACCAGATATTTGCATAATAGTTTTTGAACATTCAACTCAAAATGTAAAAGAAAACTACTGAAGTATATTTTCTCCTGGAAAGCCAGATAAAGCCTTAGTTATGCTTTTATGCCAGTAAGACAGAGTACACAAGATAGAAACCAAATAATACAAGAGAACACTTTTCTCCAATAGTTCTCTCACCTTCAAAGCTTGATCAGGAGTTAAAGCATTAATAACCAACTCCCCTTCCACAACTCTGCGAAGCTGTGAATCTTCTTCAAATATTGACTCCATATTTAACACCATCCATGAAAACCAGACCTGTACAACACAGTAACAACAGAAACACTGAAAACAAAACGGCAGGGGTAGGATCAGGAAGCTTGCTGTTTTCTTAAGAGGAATACGTCTTTGTCAGATTCTTATTACAAAATTGGAAAAGCAGTATCATATCTCAACAAGTAGACTGAAAACCAGTTTCCTCCTTATCTACATTCAAACTTCTCCTTTGTATTTTGTACAGTCTTGGGAAAAAAGGGGGATACCACGGACATCTGACAGAATCATCCAGAGAGTTCTCGAGGAAACAACTTACTCAAACCAAGTAAAATAAGATCTCCTCTCTCCCACCTGCACTACACATCTCCAATTGTGATATTGTAGGTTTTCCTTCTTTTTGCTCAAATGAGGAACTTGCTTAAGCAGAGAGAAAGCAACTAGTATTCAAAATATTTATCAGATAGAGACTGATCTAACAGAAAAGTCAGGCTTTACGTATTTTCTCTCATTAAATATATCGAGAACAATTGAAGATCAAAAGAAATCTTAACTAATAAATCCTATTATAAGAGTTCTTGGACACAGATCAGACAAACTCTCTCTGTGCAACTTCCCTTTAGTAAAATAAACGCACAGCATTCCCTTAGGCTAAATTAGGATTTTATCAGAAGAAAACCCACTAGTACTGGGATAGGAAGAAACAGTGAACAAGAGAAAAATCTGCAAAAACCTGAAAAGCAGGAAAAAAGTACCCTAGACACCTGTATATTGCTTACTCCAGGGTTGTTCATACAACACCATCACACCACTTACCTGAGAGGAATTGGCATTGCCCTCAACAAAGGAGGGTGTCACATTGCCTGCCACAATCCAGCTAACAAGCGAAGACAGTAGACCTTTGTCACAATGATAGCCCAAAGCATTCTGCATGGAAACAGGAAACATTTGGGGTTTTTTTGCAAGCAGTCTAATAGATGACTTACAAGCTCTACCTTCATCCAGGTTCCTTTCTGACTCCTGTTGCCACTTCCCAACCTTAGCTCAGCCAGCCAGCAACTGCTGAAATGCCTGCTTGTACTTATTTCTTTTTCAGTGAAAAGGTTCTGTTACACTGACAGTGTCTGTCTTTTCAGGAGAGGAAGCTCTATTTTTGTTCTAAACACACTATCAAACATTTGAAATGCAAAGACCACAAACTAAAATACTATGATAAAACTCATATGAATGACACCTGTGCTCCAAATAGGTTTTAACTATTATTATTATCAAAATATCAGACATTTCATTAATCTTGACCTACTCAGAAACAAATCAGATAACCCCATTATCACTCATCATCATGACTATTCTTGTCGCATTTCAGGAAAATATATTCACATCAAAATTAGAACCAGCAACACATGAACTGACCATTTACTCAACAGCCACATCAATACACCACACTTGCTTACCTTGTGTTGCTGGTAAAGCAGTTTTTGTACACAGTCCTCTTGACTGTACTGAAAAGCAGCTTTACATAGGTCATCCAGCAAGAAAAGCATTGCTCGGTCCCTGTGCCACAGCTGCTGGCTGGTGAGCACCTGAACCCAGAACTCCAGTACTGCAGCTGGCCCCACTCCATGTGGCTGGTCACTTAGAAAAATGTGAGTCTGCCAAATTAAAGGGTAAAATTATCCAAGACATTGCAGCTTCAATTAAAGCTTAAGAATTTATTGAAGAACTTTTTAACTTGCATAAGGCTGTGGGCCTATCCTTAAAATAAATAATTTACAACTATGCTCTCTAGGACTACGTAAAAATAGTTTTGTCATCTCCAAACTCCAAATTTCTGTAGATTCTGTAGCCTTGAGAGCTGAGCATCTTGTGCTCACACAGGAACATTTTTTCATATCACAGCCATAAATTAATGGTCAAAAGCAAAGCTTTCAAGCATTAATATATCTGCTGTATTCCTCAAGCAACACAAGTGAGATAGTGCTGCGTATTACATTCTCTTTTCAGGCAGTTTTGACCTGGTATTAGAAAATGTGTCTTCCAAGGCTGGAAGGTCCAGTGTCACATGCATTGCCAGATTTAGGCAAGTTTAAGCAGAAGTATTTCAGGAAACCAAACCCAACTATCTGTGCTTGATGCAGGGTACTCCGTGGCTGCAGAACTGCCAGATTCAGTATCCTTTCTAACCTTAAACACTAACTCAGTCAAAAAAGCCTACCTGTTTTTATCCCCCCTCCCTCCCTTTTTTCAAAAAATAATCTTCCTACCTGTATCATACTACTGAGCAGCTTAACATTTTCTCCAAAGCTCACTCCTGTCAAGTGCTGTGTTACTTTATGGGTAACCTGCTGCGTCACACCTTGAGGGACTCCACTATCCAGATGAAGGAACAGCTGGATATAAGATAAAAACCTAGGGATGTCAACAAATTAAATTAATTCTAAAATTTCTTCTACTACAGAAAACCCGCTTCTAGAGAATTTAAAACCAGCTCAACAGCACTGGTGACACCCATATACAAGGACTTTGATTCACAACCATGCCGCAGTTCTAATTGCGTCATTTGAAATGTATCATAGGCACAGTGCGAACCACAGAATCACAGAATGATTTGGCTGGAAGGGATTTTAAAGACCACCCAGTTCCAACCCCACTGCCATGGGCAGGGACACCTTCCACCAGACCAGGTTGCTGAAAGCCCCATCCAACCCGGCCTTGAACGCTTCCAGGGATGAGGCATCCACAACTTCTCTAGGCAACCTCTGCGACTGCCTCACCACCCTCACCATCAAGAATTTCTTCCAAATATCTAATATAAACTGGAAGAAGGTAGATTTAAAGCCATGGCCCCTTGTCCTATCGCTACAGGCCCTTGTAAAAAGTCCCTCCCCAGCTTTCTTGTAGGCCTGTTATGAGCAGTACACAGCAGACTGTAATTCAAGGCAGCTCATCAGGACTGAATACAGTTCTTGATCCACATCAGCACCCAAATCTAGCCCAGGAAATGTTTGGGAGACTATCGGGTGGTCCAAGCCAAAAACACCCCAGGGACCACATTACTAACTGACCAGGACAGACAGCTGAGGTCCAGCACTTGAGAACACTCCCAGCCATTGCTCAACTAACCAGTAGGGACACAGTTAAATAGTAATGCCTGCTTGTCCTTCTCACTCATCTGGACTCAACAGCTACTTGTAAATACAGCCGTCTGAAGACCACTTCTGTGGCACAGCAGTAGCATGTCTGATGTCAGTAGGACACACTTCTACTACCACTTCCTCAATCACAGTCAATGTCAAAAAGTAACTCGGCAAAGAAACCAGAGGTATTTCCCCAGCATCTGTGTCACATTCTCACCAGACGCAAAACCCAGAATGATGCCTGATAAACTCAACAGTTAAGACTAACTTTCATTGTTCCTAATACGTTTATTGATAGAGAACATAAAATGCTTACTGTTCATTCTTCAGAAGATAATACTGGCATGAGTAAAATAAGGGTAAAATTTTATCCAGCACATGGACTACTGTTCTCAGATATCTGGACTGGACGAGTACACCCAAGAGAGGGATCCCTTCAGCACAGAACTTCTCAATGCTGTCAAAAAACACCAAACCCAAACAACAAAAACAAAATAAGGAAAAAGACATTGACTATCAGTAGAAAGGGAGACAGGGTATTGATTTTTTTTTTTTTGTGAACTGAGATGTAAAAACACTCATATCTTTACACTTCATCTCTGAAACCCTAACAGCTAAATTCAGTTTTTTCTTCAGCTGTAGCAGTCACTCACTTGCTGACAGATTTGGCAAGTATTTCCTGCCCTTCTGGGGGTCTGTGTCCTGTCTTCCAAAAATCACTGGAGATGAGGGTATTCATCCACAAAGTTTCAATCAATTTAGAGCTCAGTGTTCTGAGCTAACCTAGCCAACCAGCTTCCTTCTCCAGGCAAAGAAAGGACCTACAGAGGGAATTTTATATTATCTAGCTTTGACATTTCCTCAGGAAGGATGATGCTCTGGGCATCTTTCTTCACTACCTATAGATGGAGCTCAGAGGGTTTCCTCACAGTAGGTACTTAGACGGCTGCAGTCAGCTGAGATGAATCCTACTGTTACTGTCCAGAAAACCCACCAGCTTCAACTTATTTGGTACACTGCTCTGCATCAAGCTTTGCTAACTGAGAAGGGTTGCACATTTGAAAAATATGTAACATAGAATCATAGAATCATTATGGTTGGAAGAGACCTCAAAGATCATCAAGTCCAACCGTACACCTGATGCCACCCTGTCCACTAAACCATGTCTTGAAGTGCCACATCTAGACGTTTTTTGAACGTCTCCAGGGACGATGACTCCACCACCTCCCTAGGGAGCCTGTTCCAATGCCTAACAACTCTAACAGTGAAGAAGTTCTTTCTAATGTCCAGCCTGAACCTCCCCTGGCGCAACTTGAGACCGTTTCCTCTTGTCCTATCGCTAATTACCGGGGAGAAGAGCCCAATCCCCACCTCACTACAACCTCCTTTCAGGTCGTTGTAGAGGGCGATCAGGTCTCCCCTCAGCCTCCTCTTCTCCAGACTAAACAACCCCAGCTCCCTCAGCCGCTCCTCATAAGGCTTTTAACATATTAATTCTGTGTCTACTCTGAGGTCATGAAAATGAAATATGGTATTAAATCACTAGCATACAGCACTGTTTCTTATGGTCATTAACATAACTGGCCTCAAACTCTTGCATGTGATAAATATCAGTGCCATCGTTTAAAACGGAGAAGGATGTCAAATGGTTCTTTGTGAGGCCAAATTGGGGCAGGGGGGTGGGGGGGGACAGGGGGACAGGGAAGAAAAGAAAAAAGAAAAAAAGAAAAACCCCCACAGAAGTAAAGAGTTTTTCATTCCATGCTAAAAGTCATGTAAAAGTTTTCAGGCTCAAACTAGAATACCTTCGTATCAGTCTCAAATTACTCTAGTGCTTTGAAGCATGCATGTATCTGTGGCATAACCTTATCATCAACAATGGCTTGAGGAAGGAGAGGAAAGTCAAGACAATTATAAAGGGTAAGGCACTATTATATGCAGGAAACAAGTTAGTGAAGATCTTTAATAGAGTCAGAGATAATTAAACAGATCACAGATTCAGAGAGAATAGACCTGAGAGAGATTAACCTACCTGTGGCTCTGTACCTTAATCAGCTAATACATTTGATTATGTCAAACCAGCTGAAAGCACTCGAAAAGACTGTGTTGGAACACAGTCAGGGCTAGGAAGTTCAGTATCAAGGTTATAAAGCTCTCTATTTATCATTACCAGCATGAGGTGTTTTTTTTTCCCTCGCTATTTTCTGAATGCTGTGCTGCAGCCTTGCTAAAAAAAATTACCTGTAGAACAGCTATTTTGGTAAGTGTGGTTAAAAGTTATTCAGGTCCATAGCAATCGAGCTAACCACTCAGTTTCAATACTACTTCTAATGACTATTTTGACCTTAACACGTAGCAGGTGAAAAACAGCATTAGCAAAATAAAGGAAACAGCACATTGTTCGAAACTACAGTCTCCACAAGACTGGTCAAAGCCTTGCATCAGAAGTCCTTTATTCTTTACACACGCATAAAGATGCTAATAGCTCTCAGTTCATCATTAGGTTGGTTGCTCAGTCACTGGGGCCATCCATCCAAGGCAAACACAAAAAAACCCACACTTACCTGTGACCTAGCGTGGTCATTGCCAGAGCCAGATAACAGCCGATAGGGATGCTTGCTTTAACTGCTTTTAGGAGGGGGTGAAGTGTGATTGACTCCGTCATGTCAAGCACACTGTCAGATACAGGGACGGCAGGCCAGCCATGCTGCATGCCACGGTCATTTCTGTGCAGTTTTAACCTCAAAATCAAACCCCATGCCCACTGATTAAAGGAAGTCTCTGGCGTTTCTCCATATCGAACAATGCTGGCTAAGTAGGAGACCTGGAACAAAGCAGCAGGAAAACGAATAAAAGGAAGCACAACCATACTACAGCACATAACATATGGCACTTGTCTAGGACTTGAGTCAGCTTAGATGAGTTTCCTCTTCTATCACAGAACTGTTACAGGAGATCAGAGCAACAGTAGTTATTTTTCCAGACACACCATGCAGCATCACCTATTAAGTTTATCTGAAATGTCTGTTTCTATGGCCTTGATTTCCACCACCCCTCTTCCCCCACCCACCCCTTTTGGTAAAGGCTATCAACCTATATTGTTTGGTTAAAGTTTTCCAAAGTAGATACTGTTCTTGGATTAAATATTATTTTCACTACTTAAAAAAACCCACACATAACCTTCAGCAACATTTAAACCACTAGTGAAAGGAAAATAAAATACATATATATATACACACACAAAAATAACATCTGTCAACAAAAAGTCTAAAACCTGGAAGCCTCTCCTTAGGAAGAAGTCTGTGATGCAGACAGGCAGAGTCTTTATGTCATGTATGTGTCCACTGTCATGAAGACTGTCTAGATCAGAAGGAACTATGAATCTTTGGGACAAAATTAGTTTACATGCTCTGACAGACAAATGTAAACTGCAGAGCAATGAGTCAATGTAGATATTTCCTCCTCTCTGAGTGGGGGCACAAGAACCTAAGCATTATTTTCTCTCAAGTTCCACTTACAAGCTCATGCAAGTCAGGGCACAGTCATCAATACAAGTGGTAACCAAGGCTGAAACAGGCTTAAAAAGAGAAGTCATCTAGCTGGCACAAGACAACAAATCATGATTAACTAGTGCAGAGAAGTAAGTCAGAGCAGAAAGAATAACAAACATTCAAGGCGTGGGAAGGAAAGACTGGGGAAAACAGCACAGAGTAGGAGGGGAGATGAAAGCACTGTACAAGAAATACTGAGAAGACAAAGCACAACACAATGCTAAAAGTTCTGAATAAATAGAAGCATCTTGGACTGAATATCCAAAAAAGGGATTTTTAACCTTGATCTTTCTATCCTTCCATTCCCCTTCTGTAACTTGGAGCCATACCTTCCTCAGTCACCAGTGTGCTGTAAAATCAATGCAATAAGTGTCTGTAGGGTGTTCAGGTAACACAGCACTGATCACTTCTGAAAAGCTCCTAAAACCTTGAGTCTTTAAATAAGGTAAGACTAAGAGCTGGAGACATAGGAAGGATGTCTCTTATGGTCACCAGTAATAGTAAGTAGCCTTTTATTAAGCAAGTACGAGTAAAAAAATGCTTTGCAAGAACAGTCTGCAACTATCCAACTACAGGATGGATAACGCAGACCTACACGGGGGACAAACTTAAAATTTCTACTTCTCACAGGTGTTCCACATAAGTCTAACAGTATGTTCAAATAGGTCTGTGGGTGTAAAAATACTGACGGTATATTTTGATGTTCTAGTAGGATCAAAACAGCATGGCTTCTAAAAAGAAAACAAGGCCTTGGCCTGCAGTTTTTCCTATCTATCACTATCAATAAGTCATTCCCTGTAATTCTGAAGAAGAAATACCTGTTTTATGCCTTCAGAAAGCAAGCCAGTATATGGTTTCTGGGACAGGTATTTCTGATACGCTTCCAGGACCATCAATGCAACTTCAGAATGGACAGCTGGATCCAGATGAAGAGTATTCTCCTAAAAAAGAATCACACGACAAGACTTTGCCTCATTTAATAGGTCTCTACAACTGTACCTTTTAGTTGCACTATGGAGAAATAAATCTTAATTTGAACAACCAGAGAGAGAGATTAAGTATTGTAATACATAGGTAAAGATCTTGGCCAGCAAGAAAATTTTTAGCCCAACATTGAAGAATAATAGGCTCACACTGGACAATATAAAGCTCAACAGCTAGATTACTTCCAGAAAAAAAGTGACCGTAATCTCTCCTCATGTGCATTTGGTGGACTTACAGCAATTAATTCAATGATCCATATGTGGCATTTTAAATTACATAGTACAGACACTGGAAATCTTGCCTTTAAAAACAAACAAAGTTTCATGGTTTTTGGATGAAAATGTAGTAATTCCTCTTATCAATTGCTGCATTAAACAAGTATTTTTCCTCATATCAAAGGGTACAGACATGACACTGTTACCGCACAGCAAAGACTTCACAGTTAATTTCCCCTACCATTCCTTTGTTTTCATGTGTGACCAACAAACAGGGAGAAAAAGTAAGGGAATCTTCATGTAGAAGTACCAGCACAGCAAAGAGAAGAGTTCAGTACAATCAAATGCACAGATTACAATGCTAAAATGGATCCCTGAACACAGGCAACAGGATTTTTCCCCCAATCTATTTCTGTTTCTCTCTGAAAAACTATTCACCCTTGATCGGATCCTGAACTGATGGAGCTCCTAAAGTAACCCATTCAGTGGAATATTTTCCAATCATTTAAATAATGCTCAGGGCTTTGAAGCTTTTGATTTCAATCATTAGTTTTCTTGCATTGTGAAAATCATACTTGGATACCAGCCTGCAAACTACGGTCACATCAGTCTCATACACACTTGTTGAAGGATTCCTCTATTTCTGCAGCCAGAGATATCTTAATCAAGTGACTCACAAAAATCGTCCTGTCAGCTGTTTCCTCTTATTCAGAGAGAGGAAAGTCCTGCTTAAATCTCTCTTTTAATCTCAGCTGCAGCACTACAAGAAAGCAACACAAGTAAATCCTCAGGCAGAAGGCTACAAAATTATCGTGAAGTTCCCATCCTATGCCATCAAGTGTACAGCCATCATATAAATCCTGTAATTAACTGTTTTCAAACTCAGTTATAGTCCCAGGTTGAGTAATATTTTTACTCTGTAAGATTGACCAAGTTCAGGCCTCCCATTTTTAATACATACCTGCTCACCGAATCCCCAGTTTAGCCCTTCCAATATAATGCAGGCTAGTTTATTCTCCACTGTCGTTAGACTGTAATTTAATAACCAGTCATGAATCAGTGCCATCTCAGACGAAGAAGGCTTCCATAGGTACAACGGCAGTTCTTTAAACAGATATAAAGAAACCTTTGAGGGCAGAAAAGAAAAAGGCTAATCAGTACTCAGTACGGAACAATACTTAGCATTATGCCCTTCTGTCTTCAAGAGTTATATGATCAAAAAAACATGGACACGTCTTTAACAGAACCCCTTCATATCAAGCCATATCTTGTAACACAGTCTGGTATAGCCTCTAGTTTTAAGTGGGTGCCTGCTTTAAATGACAGACACTAGCGCTTACCATCCCCACTTTCTCAATGGTCTCTCTAACTCGATCCAGCAGTAGAGAAATAATCTGTGTATGGATGGTGGCAATTGCTCCCAAGAGTTCTCGACCAACTTTTGAAAACGTCTCTCTTGTGGATAGACTGACATAAGACACCTGAGAAGACGAGCAGAGAGAAGTTACTGGTTATGGCTGAACTTCACTGACTACAATAAAACATCTTTTGAAAAATACAAAACTAAATCACTCTTGGTGGTCCCGGAAAAGTTGATAAATGCCAGTATTAAAACTGAACTGACAGTCCAAGTATATAATGAAATTGGTTTTGGCACTGCAACGTAATAAAGTCCAAAACTAAACACAGGAACACCACTACCACAAACACACACACACAAAGAAAACAAAAATACCACCAAAAAAACTACACTCCACAACAGAAAAAACACTACACAAGGAATTTCAGAGCTACAAATTAGATCCCTGTGAGGAAAATAAAGCAAAACATAGGTATCTTTGTTCATTTATTTCATTTGGGCTTGGTCTACAGAAAAGCTGTTCCTTCTCCCAGAAAAACAGGCACTTCAGTGTATTTTAATTCAGTACTAGATTATAAACCTCAGAAGTAGCGCTTTCTTAGTTCCATGGTAGTACAAGCTACAGAAGCCATGAATGATTCACACCTTCCACTGTGAGGAAAAAAGTACATTCATTCTTTCCATGAATGCACCAGTAATATTATTCACCTCATATATCTCCAGAACAATGATTTTGATAAAATCATCATCAACATCAGCCCGTTTGGTTTGTGCCATCTGAGCAAATGTGGTGAGCAGACAAATTTCTTCTGAGCAGTTCATCGATTTGAGATACTTTTCAAAATTTTCAAGATGCTCTGGGTCTAGAAAGAGAGTCACATGAAAGAAACATGAGAAAAGAAGTGTTATAGGGCACATATCATTAATATTTATACATTTATTGACAGTCCAATGCCAGAGATGGAATCATTGACAAAGGAATTATCATCACTGGGTAAGTACCCTCTCTTCAGAAGCAGCTGGTATCAGCTGCTTTAAAATACAGTGTGAGAAACATCATAATATGCAGTGAGTCCATATGATTCAGTAATACGCTAGTAATTCATAACAAAAGCTAAAACTGCTTTAAAAACAGTTGGAATTCAGTTTTTAATATGATTTTAACTATGCAACGTCAATCATCCACAGGAAGAATTGCTTGAATCTTTCTGCTTTTTAAAAATGTTATCATGGTCTTGGCTTCCATTACATATTGGAAAAATTAATTCCACAGATTAAGTCCAAGTTATATGAAAGGATTCTAGTTTTAATCAGCATACAGTCAAGTGAAGATTAAAACTAAGCCCACTGAAGCATGGCAAAGAGGTTTTGATCAAGTTGAGAGACTCTGCCTATTCCACATACCATGATCTCAAGCAGCAATTAAACTAGGGAGATCATTCTATGTCAATTACAAATAAAAATACTTCAAGCATCTAGCCCTGGGCCTAGATTATGCCCAAGAGTTACAAGGAAAGTCCAGTTTCTGTTTCCCAAATTCAATACAAGAAAATTACTGAATGCACTTGTTTGGAAAATATTTCTGAAAACAGAGAACTGAAATTGCACAGGATGGGAAGGCTAAGAGATGCTTTCACACGAATTCAAGGCAGGTTTCCTCTTTAAATTCAATGTTGAGATGTTGCCAAATGCAAATAAACATTTCATTCCTCGAGGTGGGGGACAACAGGAAGGTAAGGGTACAAAGAAATCTGTACAGGGCTTCAAACTAATTTTTATGTCTTCCAAATAACTTTTAATAGAGTTTGTGCAGCAAAACAAGCACTGAAAGCTGCATTTGAGCTGTAAAATGGAGAGTAGTCTGCTTCCTCTGAAGCATAACATGCCAGTAAACACGGTTTACAGTGATCTTATCGTAGCGGTTGAATATACTGAAAAAGCACTCATTGTGGCACACAGTTACTTAATCTGCAGAGGCACGTGCTCAGCACAGTGGTGATGAAACACTTCCACTTAGGTTACATTCTATTTTAAGGGCTTTCAAGAATTTTGCAACTGTACTTCAACCTGAGAAGGTCAGACTTGTACAGCAAAAACATCTCATGAACAGTGTGCTAGAGGATTGCGCAATTTAAGTAAATAGTTTTTCCATATAGCAAGATGAACTAAGGGATGTCTCATTCATTCATCTCTCCCTCCTAACGCTACCTTTTATCCTTATAACAGAAATCACAGAGCACTTTTCCTTGCTGTTGTTTGGGTTGTTTTTTCTTTTTTTAAGGTAATGGAGAAGAAAAAAAAAGAGACTATCCCATTACTATACATAAAAGCATAGCAGAATGACCCACAGTACGGGGAAGGGGTAGGACAAATAAGTAACAAACAACTATGACAGCATTTATCATATTAGCACCGTGATGTGCGCATCTGTGTTTAATTAGGCATAAACCAGATAAGCAAGAGAGAAGAGGTTTGGAGGGGGACAGAAGAGATAAAAAGGATCTGGTAAAGCTAAGTACAAAGGTCATAAAGGGAAGGAGAAGGTCTGGTGCCAACTGCTGAGCACATATGCACTAGACCTCTGCTGCAAGTCACAGCTCTGCAATCCCCCAGCTTCCTGCTCCAGCTGTACCTTCCTCTTCACTGTACCTGGGGTCGTCTGTGGCCTCCACACAATGCAGATCCCCTCAAATCCACAGCAAGCCACAGCTTGGGACTGAAGGACAGGGACAAGGAAAAAGGGAAGAAGAGAGACTCCATCTAAATCCCACCATCTCACAGTGGAGCAATGACATCTTCACTGCATAGTCGCTACTTCAGTCAATTTCCTTCCTCCTCTGCACATCTGAGCACACTACAATTCAAGTTCAGAGAGACCCTAAAAATCAGTGGCTCCTCAAATCGTGGTACTGGCAGTAAAGAAACTATAACCAGAAATGTTGTTCAGGAGGTTCTCACTGCCAATTGCAGCAGAAGCAAAGACAAAACTGTTAATCCTATATTTATAAAACTTACAGAGAACACATGGTTGTACTCACACAGGTATCAAACATCAGGAAGAAACTACTAGGTCATTGCTTGTCAGTGAAAACATGCTTTCCACCTTAGGTTTATTAACATTTGGTCCACTGAAGAATACCTCAAGTAACTGGACTTCCCATATTTCCCCAGGGGGTTATTTTATATCTGGTAGCTCCCATAGTCCAGAGGTTAATTCTGTGATTCTGTTGTCCTAGTAAGTATAGCTCCATCACCGCACTCCATTTTGTCATGCTATTTCTACCCATCCCTTAAAAGCAATTATGCTTCCACCTCTACATACACAAGCCTAAAGCTTCCATCAGTTACCAAGGCTTGCTACCACCTGTAGATTCACCACTCTTAACATTTATCAAACTTAATTTGGGAAGGAAAATCCATAAAAAAGGTTCTGACCCAAGAGAATGTTAATGCCATTGTCTTCTAGGGTACAAATTACAGGAAATTAAGTCAGCATGATATTGGTGTCAGTCAAAAGAAGCTATTGCAGAAGATTAGATGGATTTCACTGAAAGAACTGTTGATATTCCCTGTCTAGACATTCATGAAAAATAGTATTGTGCTGACATAACCCATTGAGAAGAATGAAGAGAATAAAAATATCCTGCATCAGCATACCAGGAACTTTAAACTATAAGTTAGCTAGAAACAAAACAAAGCCTGAACAAAACAACAATTAAAAAAAAGGAAAAAAATCAGTGTTTGTCACTGTCAGAGCTGCAACTCACCACATCATATTGTATTCTCTTTGTTTGAGATGCAGTAAAAAATTCTTGCAAAAACAAAAACCAAGAAGTCCTACTGAAACAGTGTAACTGTGATTGTTTTGGCTGGCAAGTGCTAATCAGGTCAGCACTTTATAAAGTGTACACAGCTACAGTCTTGATATCTCTCTCCTACTCTGAACAAATTGCCTTATATGTTACCTGAGCTTGCACAGAGTCAAGACACTCAGTAACCTTTTAAGATGCCATTTTCTTCTGCTTCTCTATCAAAAGGTTTGGTTGATATGGTAACAGTTATCTGGGCTACCAGTGAGCTGAAAAGTAAAACTGAGTGAGATGTGCTCTCCCTGAAGACAGCAAAGAGGTTGTGAAGTAGGGAGTTACCACTTTGTTTACCTGTCCCCCTGTCAATCAAGTCCTGAAATATTTTCCATGAATGCAGCAGCAAAGGGAAAGTAGCATTCCAGCTGGCTTCTAAATAACTCTGTTATAGCTGAAGGCACCAAAATCACTGGAGATCAACACAGGACAGAAGTCAAGGGGAAATAGAAAGAAAAGGTGGCATATAGGACAAGAGAGGCATCGAAGAAAGGCTTGAGATAAGGGAAGCATCTGTAGCTGTGGAAGATTAGCAGATTTGCCACAATGTAAGTTACTGAAGCCAAAACTAGCAAGTGTGGGGGGGGATAGGGGCAGGTGGGAAATAAAGGAGGACTGGGGTTTTTATAGAACTACTAACATTCAACAGCTCACAAAAAAACAACCCACACAACCAAAAACAAAAACACACCCCAAACCAACCCTAAGTCATACAGATTTCTGTATTCTGGAGAGTGAGATTTAAATCCTAAAGACTATCAAAGGTCAAGGCGGGACCTGATACGAGAATACACAAGATGTACCTACTGCATAGCACTCTTGCAGGTCTCTGAAGCAGCCAGTAGCAGTCACTGTCAGAGAGAAAACTAAAAGCACAGTAGATCCTACAACTCCTGTTAAAATGAGAGTTTGGGCATAGAAGTACTAGAAGACCATGAACTGCCCAAGACACTTCTAAAGCCTCTGGACCAGTCATGCTGCTGGGGGTGTATTTAACAATGGAACCTGCAAAGAATTAAACCTGTAACTGATGCAGCAGTAGCCAAATCAATTAGAATTGGTTCTGAGCGTAAGAATCCTACCTTTGAGTCTTTGTTTGCAGTCAGCAAGTTGCAGAGTAGAGCAGAGATCTTCCAGGTGCTCACTCTCTGCACAGTGCATGACATAGAAGAGTCTCCAAAGCATGTTGCTGGATAAGGTTCCATAAGGCATCTCGGACATGAACAACCAGACTCCCAACCTGTTGGATTTGAAGAGGCAGATAGAAGTATTTTCACCCTGATAAATCCCAGCATCTGAAAAGGAGACATATGCCCACACCTCTACCATATAACAGAACTGAGGATGTGTCTTAGCATCTCAAATTCTGAGTTAACACTCTGAACCGAACAAGTCCTCAAAGCTTCTGTCAGATGTTAGAATTCAAGGCATAATTCCTCCCCATCTTGATGCTACCAATGCGCTGAAAAATCCTGCATATTGCAGTCTTGTTTAAACCATTAAGTATTTAAAGCTACTCCAAATCCCAGTTTCAAATATCTAACTCCTCCAAGATGAAGCCAGTATCAATGCCATGGGACACTCTACCTTTTTGCCTTCAGAACATGTAGAACAGCTCTAAAAAACAGCTCATCAAACTCCAGTTGCAATTTTTCCACAGAGTAGGGATGCGCTACTGATCCATACTGTTTATTGCTGCTAACATACTGGGCCCAGTGGTCACTCACATGACAAAGTGTCATCCTACACAGCAAAACAAACAAGTCAAAAAAGGATCATTAAGCACGTCATTGGCATATAAAAACATAGACAAGTGCAACTAGATCGAAGTCTACTCACAAGAGACATGTTCAATCCTTTGTCCTCTGGTTTCCAGAGATTTCCACAGAAATACCCCATTTAAACTACCCTTCCTGTGTTATCCTTCCTTGGTTTCGCAAGCAAACACTGCATAATATTCCATTGTACCAAATTAGTGTATGAACTTTGAAGACTTAAAGTAATCCTACATGATGAAATAACAGCACATGCAAAAAGCTCATACAGGAATAAGTATACTGAGAAAGTTATTGCTCTAATAACACAAAGAAAAACATGGATTTTGTTTCCGATTTAACTGTATCCCCCTTGAAAACACACTCATAGAAGTCATATAAAATGACTGCTAGAGATTTAAAAATAAAGAGCAACTTCTAGGTTTCAATTACATTCCCTCACTGCAACAATACGATGATTTTCAAGGAGTAAATTAAAAACCCCAAAACAATTCTGGATAACAACGGAAAGCAAGCAGTAACACTGGTTATAAACAGGGGTGATTCAAGAAACTATTTGTTGGACTTCAGTGACTTTGCAAGACAAGCCTAAGCATGTGGTGAATGATTTCACAGACCCTGATGTGCTTAACCAGAATCAGAATCATTTATTGCTTCTTAACTCTACCTTATATGCATTACAAGAAACAGCAGAAAGGTCCAGTCACAGGGCATATTTATATAACCACCTCTTTGGTTCTCACGTTACACTACTCAATACTCTAAGTTAGTTTATCACATTCTTGTAATTCTTCCCATGGGGCTGTTGGCCTCGGTTTCTGTTTTGCAGGATCTTAGAAGACACGCGCATTACCTCTGGCTAGTCCTTTGTTATGTTTTGTTAATCTTAGTGTAGGTTTCTCGTGCGAACAGCAGGAGGAGGAACAAGATACACTGGTCTTTGATGTTTGTGGGACGCTGCCGCTTTATCATCCGTATCGTTTCCCACATAAGCACATCCCTGACGGAAGTCAGCCTGGTGTTCCAAGCTCACCTGGCTCCTTTGTACCCACAGCATTTAGATTCTGCAATTCCCCACTTCATAGGCAGCTTTAGAGTCAAGGATCCTGGGATTTCAGATTCCCAGATTGGCTAACCCTAAACTGACCCAACTCTCAGCAAAGTCTACCGAGAACTGTTTGGGGGTTTTGTTTTGGTTACCAGGGTTTGGGTTTTTTTGTTTCATGTTTTTCGTTTTGTGTTTTGGGGTTTTTGGGTGGGTTTTTTTGCTGTTTTTGGTTTTTAGCACCTCTGAACTTTAAACCAGATTGAGAAAAAAAAAAAAAAAACCTCTCTTACTTGATCAGTTGACCAATTCGCTTCACAAACTGTCTGTACCGTGCTCTGTTAAACGTTTCCAACCCCGCAGACAGAAGTTCCACTAAGGAGTTTGCAAAAGCAAAAATCTTCATCATCTCCTGGGGAGTTGTTTTTTCAGGAAAATAAGCACCTAAGACCAAGACACAAATACAAGTCTCAGAAAAAAAAAAAGTGTGAATTCTGAATTTTTTTTTTCTTACGTGACAAGCACTCAAAGCAACAACTCACCATATAGCTGGCAAACAGGTCATTGTTTGCCAGCTATATAGTGAACTGAAATGTGTATTTTGTTTACAGAATAAACAATAAATACTTGTTAAGTATGTAAGCACAAATAAACTATGGAGGTTATAAGACCTCTAGCAAGCAATTACCTTCACGTACTTGTCCAGAGACTCAGCAAAATAAAAAATAAACAATTGGAGAACATTCACAGTAACATTAAGCTAAGAGGCAAAGGGGAAAAATTAGTTCTGAAAGCACATCTGTGTCTATAACTACCAAGCAGATCAAAACTAAGGGAAAGGACTGTTAACATTTTGCATGTCAGCATTGCTATAAGTTTAAGTCACCCCATACACATGGCATACACTCTTCCATCTCATCTATTTAGTCTGTGAGCTGTTGCACAGGTTCATTATTACTTCACTCAGAGACTCTCAGTTTTAGTAATTAATACAATTAGCATAAGCAGAATGAATAACTCTAACAGTTGATTTACCTCCAGACTTAAACCCAAGGAACTGCTGAAAGAGTTCATGAAATGGGAACTGTGACAACAGGGCAATCAAGTCATCTTCCAAAAGCAGAATCCAGCTTGTCTCAGGATCCTCATCCTATAGACAAACACAGTCGCTTTTAGTAGCTTTACAAAAAAATGCATGCTAAAAGGGCTTTGCTATTGCACTAATTACAGTTTGCTTGTAAGCGGATAACAAAGAAACTACAAAGGAACTCTCCTTCCCACACACACAAGTTCCTAAATTCCTCCTCTGTGTGTGTTTCTACATAAAAGCCCTCAACAGCTAGGAAACAGAATCAGAGGCAACGCTACGTTAGTCCCACCCAGCTTCTGAAGGGAAGCACCTACTCAAACGTATGTCCACTTCCATGTTCCTTTTGCATGCAACAGCTCAAACATTTCAATTATATCTGTTAATACTCATTCCTGGAAGCTCCACTGCCTACGGTTATATCACAGAAATAAAAGGAGAGTAACACACCTTTAAGTTTCGAATTACGCTTTCTAACTGAACAAGCCAGCTTTTATTCCTCCATTTCACAAAAATCAAAACCATAAGCTTGAGCAAAAGCATAAAGGGAAAAAAAGAAAAAAAAAAAAAGTCGTCATTTGCCATACCTCTTCTCCTCCTTCATCTACCAGGGTCCAGTTTCCAGATTCTTTCCCAGAAGAAGAGGAACTTTTCCTTTCAGCTGGTTTCATACAGCACATGAAGTCCATCCGATTTCTGATTTAAAATGAAAAATCAAGTTTAGAAAAAAATTAGAAAATTAAAAATTCTGAATTAAGTAATTTTTTAGTTAAGAGAAGATATTAAAAGAAAAAAATAAAACAGATACAAGAACAAGAAATTAACAAGTATGTCAGAAAGCTGCCTGGTAGAAAAGGACCTGAGGGTGTTGGTTGACAGCCAGCTGAATATGAGGTAGTAGTGTGCCCATGTGGCCGAGAAGGCCATGTATTAGACCACCTTAAGTCTGGGATACTAGTTTTCAGACTCCATACCATATAAATCCTTAGCTGTTCAGACATACCAGAAACGTGCAGAAAGGTTGTAATAAAAAGTTAAAATCGTAACATCCAACTTCCTTCTAACTTGAAATGTACTGGCAGAACTCTGCACACAGTGCCACAAAATTCCAGCACAGTATCACCCTCCGGATCTCCTTGAACTTATAGTCTGACTGGGGATTGAGTGCACCCTCAGTAAGTTTGCAGACGACATGAAGTTGGGTGGCAGTGTTGATCTGCTGGAGGCTCCGCAGAGGGAGCTGGACAGGCTGGATCGATGGACTGAGACCAACGGCATGAGGTTCAACAAGACCAAGTGCCGGGTCCTGCATTTGGGTCACAACAACCCCATGCAACGCTACAGGCTTGGGGACGAGTGGTTAGAAAGTGGTTAAGCAGAAAAAGGCCTGGGGGTGCTCGCTGACAGCTGGCTTAACATGAGCCAGCAGTGTGCCCAGGTGGCCAAGAAGGCCAAAGGCATCCTGGCTTGTATCACAAGTAGTGTGGCCAGCAGGACCACAGCAGTGATCATCCATCTGTACTCTGCGCTGGTGAAG